ATTTCTAGCTTACGTGCTTTGTGGGCCAAGAACATAATTCATATGATTTCTATTTTTAAATGTATCAAGGTTTATTTTATAACTCAGAATATGGTCTACATTGGTAAACATCCCATGTACACTTGAGAATAATGTGCATTCTCCTGTTGTTGGGTGGACTGTTCCAAAAATGTCAGTTAGATCTGGTGAGTTAATGGTATTGTTCAGGTTGCTTATATCCTTACTGATATTATACATACTTGTTCTATCAACTACTGAGAGATAAGCATTGAAACCTTCAACTATAATTGTGGATTTGTCCAATTCTCCTTTCAGTTCTCTTTTTGTCTCATGCATTTTGAAGCTCTGGTGTTAGGGGCACACACATTTTAGGGTCATAAAATAAAGCTTAACACATTGAAAAAAACAGAAATCATATATATTGTTTATAACTTAAAGATAATATGAAACAATATTTGCAAGAAACTTTCCATAAAGAATAGCCAGAAGGCTAGACTGGAAGTCCTAGCCGGAACAAGTAGGTAAGAAAAAGAAAGAAAAGGCATTCAAATAGGAAAGGATGAAGTAAAACTGTATCCATTTGCAGATGACGTGATTATATAGAAAACCCTAAAGATTCCACCAAAAATCTGTTGGAACTAATAAATGAATTCAGCAAAGCTGCAGGATACAAAATCAATATGCAAAAATCAGTTGCATTTCTATACACAAGTAACAAACTATCAGAAAGAGAAAATAAGAAAATCCCATTTACAACTGTATGAAAAAGAATCAAATACCCAAGAATGAATTTAACCAAGGAGATGAAAGTTCAGTGCACTGAAAACTATAAGGCATTGATGAAAGAAATTGGAGAAAACACAAATTTTTAAATGTTATCACTAAAAAACAACCGATATGTGAGGTGAGGGATGTGTTAATTAACTAGATGGAGGGAACCCTTTCACAATGTATAGGTATGTCAACTCACCACACTCTACACGTTACATATCTTACAACTTTATATGTCAATTATACCTCCATAAAGCTGAAGAAAAAGAAACAAAAAGAATACATACACTACTACCTTTGTAGTTAAAATATATAAATACTCCTCACAACAGAAATACTAACTATGTATTATGTGTCAATGTAAATGCTAGCTGATGCAACAGACGAAACGTAAAACTGACTGGCTTAGGGGCTGGCCCCGTGGCCAAGTGGTTAGGTTCACCCACTCCAATGCAGCGGCCCAGGGTTTCACCGGTTCGGATCCTGGCCCTGGACATGGCACCACTCATCAGGGCACGCTGAGGCGCATCCCACGTGCCACAACTAGAAGGACCCACAACTATGTACTGGGGAGATTTGGGGAGAAAAAGCAAAAAAAAACAGCAAAAAAATGATTGGCAACAGTTGTCAGCTCAGGTGCCAATCTTTAAAAAAATAAAGGAAAACAACTGACTGGCTTAATACAACAAAAATTACTTTCATTCATATAAATCCTGATGGCAGTTGGCAGGGTCTCCCTACTCTCAAGTGGCCCAGGGATCCAGGCTGCTTCCATCTTTTCGCTTCACCGTGGAAACGTGGAGTAGCCATGTTTGCTGCTAAACAGAAGAGAAAGCATGAGAATGGCCCACTGGCTCCTGCCTAAGCACACATGGACTGGCAGTGTAGTTTTCCCCATTATCCAGAATGAAGAGGAAGATAAGATGTGGACAAGCACTTGTAGTCTCTCCCATAAGCTGTCAATAGTAGGTGTTCAATATAATCAACTATTATAATGTGTTATAACAACTGTCTTCATTTCTTGGAGGAGTTTCTGAGAAAGTTGGATTTCCTTTGAAATTCTCCAAGTTTTCAAGTGCTTGCCATGTGAGAGGTGCTTTCAAACACAGGATAACATCTAGTTTTCCAAGGACCATGTACATGTCAGCAGGGAGGGTTCACTTTCTTTACTCAATAGTACTTTTCTGTACTGCCTTTTGAAATAACCTCTATAATCTCAGACAGCTGAGAATTTCCTCCTTCCTTTTGATGAATGGTCACAATTTTAACTTATGTGTCTCTGGTACCTTCCACATGACTGAACATGACTGAGCATCTGTACAGGTGCCATTAGGCAAACTGAAAACCAGGATTTTCCTGTGGGGAAGGTACACAGACCAGAGGAGTGGAAGGGTGTATTTTTTCTTTTTAAATCAGAGTTAGCATATCCACCAAGGAACCAATTTTCACCTCCTAGGAGGAACCCAGGGTTTTAGGAATTCAGCTTCAGTAGATGTTTGCTCCATGGTAATGTCCATGGTCTTTCCTCATCTACCATTTATAAGGGATCCTTTGGTTTTTAACTGCCTAGGTAATATCATTCACCTGTGTCTGTGCTCACTGGCCAGTTTCAAAGAAGACACCCCTTGAAATCCTACTGCAAATATCAGAGTGGTTAAAAAGACTCTATCTCTAATTTCAGGGTTATAGTAGATTATGTGCCAAGTCAGTCTCTGCTCACTGGCCCTTTTGGAAAACACTTTGCAAGTGTGTTGAAGAGGCCAAAGGGGGATGACCAGGCATCTAAACATCAGTGTCCAAAGTGAACCTTAAGTCAAAGGGACTGTTGCTATCAGAGAGGTTCCAGGGTGAGGGATGGGACAGTAAGGGGTCTTCTGCATGGAGTAGGAATGCTTTACGTTAAGGGAAGGGCAGGTGATTCTAGGCTGTTCCACTGCGAATAGGGCACAGCTTTCAGAGGAAGAGACAGCGAAGACCTGGTAAATCAGTCAGGTTTCAGAGTTGGACAAGAGGGCACACAGGTGAAGCCCAGGGAGAAGGTGCTGTCATGCAGGAAAGTGCTGGGACCAGATGGAAATACAGTCAGCTCTCAAGGAACCCTGGGACTTAGGAAGGAGGACCCTATGTTAATGAAACCTACAGACAGTATCCAATTGTGTTTGATTGGCATTGTCACCTTCCTTTGGTCCTGCTTTTAGTATCCTTGTACAGAGACCATCTTTTTGTGGCCTGAGAGACTTTATGGAGAACTGAGAGGAGAAATGAATTAAGAGACAGAAGGACTGCCCCAGCCTCAGGCAAGGAGGGGTGGGAACAGCGTGGACTCTAGACGCATTTAGACTAGAGGTCTCGTCTCAGCCCTGTCACTTGCTAGCCATGTGGTCATGGGGAAATTATCAAGTGCTGTGGGCCTTAGGTTCTTCATCTGTGAATTTGATAAGCCATGTCTTGTAGGACTGCTGGAATATATGTAACGTATTTAAAGCACCTCACTCAGCACCTGGAATTTATTGGATCTTTAATGAATGGTGAGGAGTCCAGCTCCTGGTTAAAAATCCTAATGTATGATTTTTCAGGTGTGACCACAGGCAATTACAAAGGCTTTCCCTGGCACACCTCATGGGGTAAATAAAGTGGCCCTCCCCACATCAGACTTGGTGCACAACCAATGGCTTGCAATCTCTGAAGAGGGTTGCAGTCAGACTCAGACCCCTCTGGCAGGTCATTCTCTTGTCATATTTGCATTCCTAGCCCACGTGCTTTCATTCTCAAATGTCTATCTGAGCCTTGGGCAGAGGTCTTCTGGGCTGCTGCTGAGACCACCTTGGCAGGAAAGGGGAGGGGAACATTGAAGACGCTTTTCCCACCTATTCTTCCCACTCCTAGCCTTTCTGCTTTGCTTTCCCCTGATTCCAGGATCCATAAACCTGCCAGAGTCTTAAGTTCTGGCTCCCTCAACAGTGAGGCAACCCCTAGGTCTGTGCTGATCCACCTCAACTGTGCGCTGTTCCAGGGAGGAGAATAAAACAGGAGGAGTAGGCACTTTCTCCTGCTTTACACTCTTGCTTATAGTATCACAATAGGTGATTAAAGCCTTAACGCTATTGTATTTGGCTTGTTGCTTTAATCAGCTACTCTGACACCTGGTACCTTAGCTCTCACTCCACCTCAACTGAGCTCCTAACAAATGGCAGTTGTTTCTAATATTGTTGACCCCAGAACCTTCCACCTTCTCCTCTGGGAATTTGTTATCCAAGCTCTCTCAGAGAATACACAATGCTCTAACACATTGGACACCAAATCAGCTAAAAATGCTGCTTCATAAATAAAACTCAGTAAATTGTTACTTAGGGAATACATTATTTAATTTGGCTGTGGGTTAGTCTTCCCCAGCTGGATTCAACTCAAAGCTTCTAGAATTCAAGTCAAAGACCAACTTTTTCCTTGCTTCCAAGCTGTTTTTCCATCCAAAATATGATTTTCATTCATTTAAGCCCTACCAAAAATCTAGTCCTTGCTTAGAGTTGGCCAAAGTGCCCTGAAGATGACCTAATTATAATGTCATTTTAACAGAGGCGGCTCTGGCTCTCCCAGGCGAGGGAAAAGGGTGCCAGCCTGGTGGCTGCTGAGCATCACTTTAAGGGAGTGCCACCCTATTTCTCAGGAAATCCTTGCAGAGGATGGGTGTAGAGCCCCTAGTTCGTGCACTGTGTCAACTGCACTGGGTTTTTTGCAGAAGTTCAGGACATTTTCCATACCTGCTTTGGGTGGAGATTTCTCTCTGGTTTATCTATGATCCAAAAGTAACTGCTAAGAGCAGTTTTTCATTCCAGACTTTTCTCTCAAAGGTAAGACACACCTTTTGAGAGTCTGGCCCTTGCCATTACTCAGCTTAACCTAAAATGAACTCCTACAGAAAGAACTGCAGATTCCCAAAGGCCCAAACAGCCTTGGCTTAGGGCATTCACAATTGATCACTCTCACCCAGAGCCCCACCTCCTTGCCCCGTCTTTCTACCTTGTTTCTGGGCTCCTAGAGGACATCTCACCGCCTTCCTGATGTGATTGCTGCTCCCATCCTCTACCATTCTAAGGGTAGGGTTGTGTCCTGTCGATCCTAGCATCCCCGCTGCTAACACATGGCCTTCTAAAGAACAAGCACTCAATTCATGTTTGGGGAATAAATGAGCCAGTGAAAAAGAGATTTCATTTAAGATTTAATTTCTCCTACATTCTTGAATAAGCCAAGCAAATCCATGCATATATAATTTAATTTTACAGAATGACAGACTAAAAGGGATAAGTGAATCCAAGAATTAACCATGCTTTACATTTTTTCCTCTATTCCTTGAACCTCTCTGTTTTACTGCTGGGCTCTTTCACATTTCCATGGAAATTCCTATTCTAATCCCATGTTATCTTGTTCCAGATCACAAGAAAAGATGAGACCTTTCCCAATTTGTTTTGCAAAATTGCAAAACTCTCATTCTTAAACTACTGTCCTTCATTAACTTAGATTCTGAAGTTAATTAAACTTTCTCTTACAAGGAAAAATATTTGAAAAAAAAAACGAGGAAAAAAAGATAAATCTCCAAATCACGCATATAGAACAGGAACACAAGAACCTTATACTGTGTATTCCCTCCAGATCCACCCTGGCCCTCCACTACTTAGAACTTTGGCTATCTTCAAACAAAGAGTGGAGAATCTTCCTCAGACTTCACTCAGGACAGAAGCCGCAGGACGTGACACTGGAACTTTCACTGGCTATGGCAGTAGTATCAACCGTGGCAGCAATTCTGGCCTCTGCTTTCTCTTTCTCATCTCTCAAAGCTTCCTTATACCAGGATGGGAAGGAAGAGGGGTCAGTCCCACTGATCTTGGCAAAAAACTCCAGGACTCTCCTCTTGCTGGTTTCAGCGTGGGCCCGTGGACCCCACAGGAATTCGTAGTGTGGAGGATCGCTGTTGGGCACCTGCCGGTACTCCAGGTACTTTTCCTGCACGAAATCTTTGGTGATGAGCTTCCTGGGATCCCCATAGATGAAATCCTTCCTCCCAGCGTATACTCCCATCATACTCAGCACTTCCCAGATTTTCTCCTCAGGGGCACAGTCGCCCTTCATGATGATCACACCCAGGATAAGTATCAGGAGGCCAGTCTTGGGCACGCCCTGTTCATCACTCAGCAGCCCGTCGTAGGTGAGGTCTAGTGCTCTGACAAGCACATAGGAGTGGCTGGTGGGATCCACTTCCTTCACTTCAATGCCAAAGACAACTTCCATGCGCTCACAGACTTTCCTGAAGATCACAGGGAAGTGGCCCTGGTGCTCTCTGATGATAGTCTTCAGCATCTCTGCCTTTGTGATGGGCTCCTTTGTTATATACTTGACACTCAGGAACTGCAACAAATCAGCTATGTTCTTGTCTAGCACGTCAGTGAGCAAGGACTCAGGATCTGATGGAGACTGCGAGGTGCTGAGCCCTTCCTCTTCTTGACTTCTGGAACTCTCATCAGATTGACTTGATGGAACAGTTGTGACAGCAGTGGGAGAGAGGCAGGCTGTCTGAGAACTCTGGAGAGGACTCAGTGTCCCAGTGGCAGGTGCCTCCCCTGGGGTGCCTGGGATCAAAGGATAGAGAGAGAAGGAGGTGGAAGTGGCTTCTTCCTCCTCAGCCACGGGGCCCTGCACACCTACTGGGCCCTGGGCCTCTCTGGAGGCCTGAAGGTCTTCCTCAAGCTTGCAGCACTCACTCTTCTGACTGAGAGACATGATGACTTGTGTTGGGGGTAGCCGGCAGGAGGGTAGGCAATGGGGACCACAGACCTGGGGGAGAGATGAAGAGTATCAGTGGCCTCTGCTGAGCAACTCTCTCATGACGGTTCTAACGAAGGCAACTCACAGGTCTGCTCTTTAGGGGTGCTCTTGGGCCTCACAGAGCTCCTATTCTCCTGCTTGGCCTGTTTCCTAAGAACTGAAAGAGGAGGTGAGACAGCTCCTCAGGGTGCAACCTGAGGATTCCAGGGCTGAGAGCAGGCCGGTAGGGTCAGGCATTGTGGAGTCCTCTCTTTTCCGGGGTGGGTGGGGCCCTTGGTAGACATTCAGTGGGTGCACTTCACCCTGACTTCTGGCACTGCCTCGGCCTTCTCTGATATGCTAACCTGGGGACACATGCCTCAGACCAACGCTCTCACCTCCTGGTTCCTAGAGCTCCTATAAGAGAAACAGAGGGGCGGCTGTCCCCGTGGCCCAGTGGTTAAGTTCACACGCTCCTCTGCAGGCGGCCCAGTGTTTCATTGGTTCGAATCCTGGGCGCGGACATGGCACTGCTCACCAAATCATGCTGAGGCAGCGCCCCACATGCCACAACTAGAAGAATCCACAGCAAAGAATATACAACTATGTACCAGGGGGCTTTAGGGAGAAAAAGGAAAAAAAACTTTTAAAAAATCTAAAAAAAAAAAAAAAGAAATAGAGGGGGTACCTCATGATGCAGACTACAGGCACAGTCCTGGGCCCCCCAGTGCTGACAGGAGGCATGGGGCCAGACTCTGTGATATCCCCAATATTCTGGGATGGATGGTTCCCTCAGTGCTCACTCGGATTCTAATCTTTCCCCTGTCAGAGTTTGGGCCCCACCACTCTGCTGACCTCCTCTGACTTCCTCCTGAGGAGGAAGTGAGGGGGCACCACATCCGGTCACACTTGCCTAGGGCCTCCCAGGGCTGTTAGCAGGGGCTGGGTTGGTTTCAATGGAGCTTCCTGTGTCTAGGGTAGGAGGGTCCATTATGTTATTAATCTTTACTCCCGACAAGGCCTGCTCTGTCCCCCACCTCTGCTGACCTGACTTTGCATCCTCAGATTGAAGCCTCACCTCTCTGAGAGGAAGCATCTTCCCTACCCCCACAGCAGACGTGACAGCCTACCACAAAGGGACCCGTCTGCTTAGTATCTCCCAAGTGTGACAGCAGGGGCTGGGCCCATCTGTTCTAGAGTTAGGGTGCCCTCAGTACTCCTTCAGGGTATTCAGCTTTTTATCTAGCAGGAACTCAGCCCATCTTTCCTCCCCCTCGCTTGACTTCTTTTCTTCAGACTCCCTGAGCCCACGGAGACAAAAGTGAAAAGGCGCCACATCCGGCTACTCCTGCCTGAGGTCTCCCAGGACTGGCAGCAGGAACAGGGCAGGTTTCTGTTGGATGCCCTCCCTCTAGGGCAGGGTCGGGGAGGAGGTACCCTCAGTCCTCTATGTAGTCACAACTACTCCTGACAAGGCTTAGGCCACCTACATCCTGCTGACCTGAGAATCCCTCCCCCAGGGCATAGCGCCATTCTCCCGGAAACCACCGTCAAGGAAGTATGGAAGGTCAGGCACGGTGCCTCTGCCCAACAGCTTTTCCCAAGGCTGACAACAGGAACTGGATTTCGGTGGGGGCCGTCTCTGCACAGAAAAGTTTCCTCGGTCCTCCCTAAGAGTCCTCACCTTGACACCAGCAGCACCTGCGACTCCTCCCTCTGCTGGCCTGAGGTGACACCTCTCACTAAGCTTCACCTCCCTCAGGCTCCTAAGGCGGAAGTCAGGAAACGTCACATCCGGGAACCCTTCCTGGGGCTTCACAGGGCTGACAGCAAGGGCACCGCTGGTGCCGCGTCTGTCTGAGGTGGGAGCTCCCCTCAGCCCTTTCTCAGAGTCCTCGCTGACGCCTGGCAGGGTCTGGGACTTCTCTGCCTGCCAACTTGATGCTAACCCCTTTAGGCCAAGGTTCTATCTCCCTGGGATCTCTGATACACACACGGCGGGGCAGGGGCGCATATCCTTTCAGCACTGCTCAGGGTTTCCAGGGCTGACAACAGGGATCAGGACGAATTTCTGTGGGGACCCTTCTGGTTCTGAGGTGGGGGGTATCTCAGTCCTCCTCAAGGTATTAATATTTACTTCTGACAGGGCCTGGGACCCATTCCTTCTGCTGACCTGCGGATGTGTCCTGCAGGTCAAGGCCAACATTTCCCTGAGACCCTAATGGGTAAGTGGGAGGTGGCGGGCTTTGTCTGTCAACCATTCCTGGGGCCTCAGAGGGCAGATAGCGGAAGCAGGTGTCTGAGGCAACCCACTCTGTCCGCGGTAGGAGGTTTCTTCAGGATCCTCACCTTGACGACTGGCAGCGTCTGGGACTCCTCCCTTTCTGACTCAAGGCTAGTCACGGCAGTTGAAGCCTTGTCTCCCTCAGATTCCCAAGATCGAAGTCAGGAAACTATATCCAAGAGCCATGCAAAGGGCCTCCCAGGGCTGAAAGCAGGCTCAGAATGGGCTGGGGCCCATTCTGTTCTGTAGTGGGAGGCCGGTTCAGTCGTCCCACAGAATCATCATTTTGACCCCTGGAACTGCCTAAGCCCCCTCCCTCAGCGAACTTGAGTCTGCCTCCCTCTAATCACAGCTGTCACCTCCGAGTTCTCAGAGTTGGAAATGAGGGGGGCGTTGCTTATCCTGACAGACCTGCCAGGAGTTTCCCAGGGCAGACAGCAGGGGTGGAGTGCAGTTCTGTGGGGTCAACGCTGTTCTGGGGTGGGTGGACCCCTCAGTCCTCACTCATGAGGGTTTTCATCTTGGCTCCTGGCTCCTTGATTAAATGCTCTCTTGGAGATTCCTTCCCCTCTGCCAGGTGTGAGCATTTGCCCAGCTGCAACTCTTTCACAGAAAGGTTTTGGTTCCGAGACTAGATACTAGAGGGGAGAACATCAACACCCATGACAGGCGGTGGCGATTTGGAAAAGGAGCACACCTTCCTGTGAGGTCTCTTCACCCACCAGGCAAGACCACAGTAAGATACCACTTCACAGTCACTGCATGGATATAATTTTTAAAAATGAAAAAGTATGTGTTAGCATGGATGTGGAAAAATTAGAATCCTCTTGCATTGCTGGTGGGAATGTAAAATGGTGTACCCACTGTGGAAAACAGTTCAGAAGTTGAACCAAAAGTTTAAAAATAGAGCTTCCACAAGATCTAGCAATTTCACTTCCAGGTATAGTCGCAGGAGAATTGAAAACATATGTTCACAAAATAACTTGTACAGGAATATTCATAGGAGCATGACCATAATATAAAAATTGTGGGAACAATCCAAATGCCCAATGACTCAATAAACAAAATGTGGCGTATCCATAAAATGAAATATTATTCGGCCATAGAGAGGAATTGATTATGGATACATGCTACAACATAGATGAGCCTTGAAAACATTATTCTAAGCTAAAAAGTACAGACACAAAAGGCCACATATAGTATGATTCCTTTTATGTGAAATGTCCAGAATAGGCAGATGCATATAGATAGAAAGTAGAGTATCGGATGCTGGTAGCTGGGGGAGAGGGGATAGGAGGTGATACTTAATGGGTATAAGGTTTCTTTTAGGGAAGAACGAAGGGGTGATAAAAATGTAGAATAGTGGTGGTCTTGCATAATCTTGTGAATACACAAACTAAACACTACGGAATTGTATGCTTTATAATGTTGAATTCAATGGTATATGAATCTCTCAATTATAAAAAGAAACTGCCAAACTGTTTACCAGAGTGTCTGTAATATTTTGCATTCCTATCAGCAGTGCATTAAGAGTTCCAGTTGCTCTCTATCCTTGCCAGTACTTGATATTGCCAGTAATTTTTTTTAATTGTAGCCATTCTAATGGATGTGTAATGGTATCTCATCGTGACTTTAGTTTGCACTGGCCTAAAGGTTAATGTTGTTAAACTTCTTTTTATGTGCTTATTTCTCATTCCTATAGCCTCTTTGGTAAAGTCTTTTGCCCATGTTTTAATTGGGTTGTTTGTCTTCTTACTGTAGGGTTTTGAGTTTTTGAGAATTTTGTATTCTGAATACAATTCCTTTGACAGATATTTGATTCAGCCTGTAATTTGTATTTTTGTTCTCTTAACAATATGTTTCACAGAGAAAAAGATTTTAATTTTGATGTTACCCAGTTTATCAGTTTTTCCTTTTATGGATTGTGCTTTTGGTTTCAAGTCTAAGAACTCTGCTTAACCTGAGCTGGAATTATATATTCCATTCTTTTTTTTAAGCTTTTTAGTTTTACTTTTTATATTTATATCTATGGTTCATTTTGAATTAATTTTTGCATGAAATGTGAGGTGTCAAGCTTCATTTTTAATGTCGATGCAAATAATCCATGATCAATCTATAAATCAGAATCAGAGTGAGTTTATTATGAGCCTACCCTGAGGACTGTATGACCCGGGAGAATCCTTTCACAAAGAAATGGAGCACTCCAAGGAAGTGGGGGTGTACAGAGTGGTTATACCATCAAAGAGCATGCATCACATATGATTGGAATGTCCCTTTTACAGTAGTCACGAGATTGCTTTGCTGGCACAGCGATTCAGTGAACACAATGGGTCAGTAGTCTCAAGGTGGATGGTCACAAGGTGAGCACAGCAGGTTAGCAATCAATCCTTGGTTTAGGGAGAGATGCTTATCCTTAAGGAAATGTCGATATGGGGGAAATTACATCCTTATCTTTAAGGGCATTGTTCTTGTCTTTGGGACATAGTGAATACTTAAAGCAGATATACAATGTGTGCTCAATGGCCATGTCAGGCCCTTTTGGAAAAACAAGTTCAGGCCAAATTAGTTTTATACCAAATGGCTTCCTCATACACCCCAATATCCTATCGTTTGTCATTTAGTTATCATTACCTATGGATTTCCAGCATGATTCAAAGAGAAGACTATCCTTCCTCCATTGAATTGCTTTTGCACCTTTGTCAAAGTGTCATGGACATTT